TATATATAACTTTATTGCGCAACAATTATACAGTGTACAAAGTATGGCATCTACTAACTTAAGCAAGTACAGGTCAACTACATTTTCATAAGGCTAATCTAATACAAAAGTGGGTGGCTAGTATGAGATAGGTATCGACTTATACAATCGTTGAAGGAGTTTTTAATATCCATACAGTCTTTAATATATTTCCCTATGTATAGCATGTAGATAGCCTCTACTAGACTCCAGAGGCGCCAAACGTTACGTAGAACGCAGCTACCTGTCTTAGAACAGACTGAAAAAAGCTTTTTAATACACTGCACTGTACTGTGATGGATTCCAAGGTAATGTGTCTAGTTCAAGTCTTCCGCCTTTAAGTTAAAAGAAGTTTATTGCAAATTCGTGCCCGGAGGCTAATTGCAAATTACAAACATAAAAGAACAATGTAACAGAGTATAAAATAACTAAAATCTACATGATAAAAGGTAGTTGTCTAGGGCTATAGCTATGTCTAAGACTATATCTAAGGGGTTTGACTTCTCCTTTTTAAAAAGATAGCCTCTAGTAGGCTGCAGAATCGGTTGAATTTTTTAAAATTCGTTGCACATTTTGTACCCTTTGTGTTGGAATAAAGTTCAACATCGTACTATGATTAATACCAACACAGGTGAACGTCCATGATATTTATGTTTACCCTTCGCAGAAGGAAAACAATTTGTTTTTGCTCAGTTTCTTCTTCTCCAAACACATAAGGTCAATGACCTGGACCAAACATCTGTCACCATGGTAACCAGTACTGTAGAAACCCCCTGTGGTGTTGGGTTACATTATATTGATGATTATGTTGATGTACAATATTTGATGATGTTCATAATTGGAATATTTAATAAATACATGTAATCTGCTTTAATTTTTGTATTTTGTATGTTGTGTTTGGGAGGACAACTTGTAAAGGTGTCAAATCACCTGTTTTGTCCTCCCTTCCACTTGTATATCTGGTGGTAAATTCAAATAAACAAACAAATAAACAAATATATTGCAGGACAGGGCTGGGGCAGCTTGTCACGATATACATATACTAATATATGGATGTGTTTGAGTAAAAATTAACAGCAGTAGTTTGTTGGGCTAGACTATACCCATGTGAAGGTAAACATAATGCGTTGGCTTTGCAAGTGCTGTTAACTTTCTAAATGGTTTTTAAATGGTTTTCATTGTCCAAACAGTACCCGTGCAGTCGCAGCCTTTATACGGCTGAATTAATGCAGGGTATCACATAATAATCAATACAAATCACAACAATTACAACAATCAAATAATACACATGATACACATATTTGTTCCACAATTATTTTTTGTGGAACTGTGGCAAGGGTCTGTGCGGCTGCCATTCGGCGCCACAAGGTGACCTCAATACGACTTTCGCCAACCGAAGTTAGGTACCCATTCACACCTGGGTGGAGTGAGGAAAGTCGTGTAAAGTGCCTTTCCCAAGCAACGGCACAACGTCGGGGCGCATGTTCAGACATGTCCCGGGTACGACTCGGGATCGAAACCGGGTCTCCCCGGTTCATAGTCAATTGCTCTAACCACTACACCACCCGACGCCACGCATTTCTAGTTTGATGTTTGTTCTCACCTGGTTCCTTGAGATGGAGATGGTTTCCTTAAAGACGGTCCAGGTGACCACCTCGTTGCAGGTGGGGGTGGTGAGGCTGCCGTTGTAGCGGAAGAACTTGGTTCGGTCAGTCGGCAGGAGGCTGTCCAGGCTGAACCGGTCAGCCATAGGGTACTTGAACGTCGTGCCTGTAGGAAGATTCACACATTTTTAAAGGAAGATAGTTTGCTTACATTCATAATCGTCATCTGCATCACCATCATCCATTGTATTCTGTATCTGCATTCGCACGAAAACGTCCTGCAGCTGCATAAGGACTTTCTTCATCTCCTTCCACTGTGTCTAATGCCTCGCGAGCTCCCTACGCTCCTGGAGTTTCTTTCCCGTTGTGGGAGGTGTTCTGTTTGCTTCCTGAATTCCCCCCATGACCACCTGTTGGTCCTAATGCATTTCCCGTGTCTGACCTTGCATTTTTCTTGTCTATCACCCCCCCCCCCCATTCACGCGCTGTCAATCAACTCTTTCCAGAAAAATAGACACAGCCACACTGTTCAGCCACACAAAACAATACTTCTATAGGCAGACGTAATAGCGGAATATTGTAGATTCTTATAGTAAAGGTTGAACTTTATTCCAAAACAAAATTGTACCGGGATCAAATTTTCAGCGACCACTGTCGCCTTCATCAGGATAATTAATGACCAATCACTTCACAACGTGATCTCGCGAGAATTACGGTGTACAACTGTGTGTTGGAATAAAGTTCAACCTTTTACTATGATTACTACCAACACGGATGAACTTTAATGATAATTGTAGATTCTTGCTGTTATATTGTAAAGAACCGGTCGCACACTGGACCTTTGAAGCGCTAATGCTTTATTGCCCTGCCTCCAGGACTCCTAGAACCAGAGTGAGATTTCTAGGTTAGACAGTGCTACTTCTAAGATAGGGGTGTTCTGCAACAGGACTGCTCTACTTCTAAGATACGTGGTTCTTGTGTGGTAAAGGACAAATAATTCACAGCACGGAACTAGAAATAACATGTGTACTAATGAGATGAGAAAGGCCTGATTTTGCCCCATTGAAAACCTCCATTGCTACATGACTCACCGCTTTGGCTGACGTTAGCGATGTACTTCAACAGCGGCTCAAAGGCGGGGTTGTCCGAGTTGCAAAACTACAGAAAATATGCAGTAAAAACAGTAAACGTTACACATATTTCTACATGTGATGGGCATTCTGACAAACGAATGTTCTTTACAAGCAAATATAGCCTTGGTCACAACCCGCCGTACGTGCTTCTGCGTGCTGTCTATGTGCAAAAACGTGGGCAAACGTAGGGCATCCGTGCGTGGTGAGTACCACCTCCGTACGGAATCCAACGGATTTGGGAGCACGCAGACACGTTGTAGAACTTTAAGTGCATGTAAAACTTTTTTTGCGTTCGGTCTGCGGATTCCCAACCCGTGCGTGCGAGTAAGTGCGACGCGCGTGCCCCGTACGTGCCGTGCGGAAGAAGCACGTGAGAGTACGGCCGTCTTACGGTAAAGTTGCAATCGCACAGAGGTCGCACGTTAAAGCAAGTACAACTCACTTACCACTTGCGCAACGAACTATGCACGCAACCGCTCACGGCCAGACGTGGCGTGCAGACCACACTATTACACCTTGCGCAACCGTGCAAGTGACGTGCGAGTGAAGTGCGTAGACGTCACTCCTTCCCCACGTTTTCAGAAAAAACGTAGCAGACGTAGCATCCCAAAAAACGTACGGACAAAAAGCACGTACGGCGGGTTGTGACCAGGGCTTATCTAACAGAAGCCATAGTTTTGTTCAGACGCAATACGTCCTACTGACGTGCTGACAAAACGTAGACATGCGAAATACAAATACAAAAATGCGAACATCTACGCACACACCGCCACTTATAGATCGAACCGCTACTTGTGTTCTGCCTCACCTCTATGAAGAAGCCGAGCACGGCGAGCGAGGCGTGGTTTGTGCGGCTGCCCACCACGGCATCGCCCAGGTCCGTGTGCTGGTCCGCGTTCCAGTGGACAAGATGCAGCTGCGGGGAACAGGAATCAAACTAGAAAGGTCGACATTTGCTTGGGAGTAAATACAGCATATTTCAGTCCATCTCCCTCCCACGCAAAAGTGGACTATTCCAAAGTTACCCCAGTGCAAAACTGGCAAAGGTTCTCAAATAAATAAATTAAATAGTAGCTCAATGTACAATGAGAACAAAGATGCTAGAACAAGCACTTTGGATCTCGAAAGCTTTACTATCTTATTACAGGTATGCAAATACTAACAATGATGAGATTTGATACATTTCGAAGGTCTTGGGCGCATAAAATCGAATGTGTGGGTTATTACGCACGACTTACGTGCAATGTGACCCCAGGTAACCCGCAATGGAACACGTGTTCCATGGCCAATGGCAGATGGAACAGGCCATTCTTTAGATAGAACGTGGAATAATGGGTACAGCACTTTTGGCCCTTTTTTGGCCTGAAATAGCCATTAAAGTCCCCTAGATGAGTCATTTGCAAGTGCATGGTGTATGCCAAATATGTGACAGCTATTCTGTAAACACATGTTCAAGGTACCCTTATACCGAAGTTCAGATCATTTGGTTGTAATACCAGGGCTCAGGATCCAAAAGTCCATTTTTTGTCGAAAAATGCCCCAAAAAACCTTAATAAAAATTTTTCAAAGGCATGTATAAATAAAAATGAAAAAAAAAACGCCTGGGGGTATTGGCGCACTCTACCTCCATGCCAAATTTCAAGTCATTTGGTTGAAAAATGACAGAGTTGAATCCCTTTGACTGTTTGGCAGGAGGAGAAGAAGAAACATGAGAGAACACTAGAGAGGCCGACATTTGCTTGGGAGCAAATACAGCATATTTCAGTCCATCTCCCTCCCGGGCAAAAGTGGACTATTCCAAACTTACCCCAGTGAAAAACTGGCAAAGATTCTCAAATAAGTGAATTATATAGTAGCTATGTAATTGAGAACAAAGATGCAAGAACAAGCACATTGAATCTCGAAAGCTTTACTAATCTTATTACAGGTATGCAAATACTAACAATGATGAGATTTGATACATTTTGAAGGTCTTAGGCACATAGAATTGAATGTGTGGGTCATTAGGCACGACTTACGTGCAATGTGACCTCAGGTAACCCGCATTGGAACACGAGTTCCATGGCCAACGGCAGATGGAACGGGCATTCTTTACATAGAACATGGAACGGGTATAGCACTTTTGGCCCTTTTTTTTGCTCAAAATAGCCATTAAAGTCCCCCAAATGAGTCATTTGGAAGTGGTGTATGCCAAATATGCGACTGTTGTTCTGTAGACACATGTTCAAAGTACCCTTATACCGAATTTCAGATCATTTGGTTGTTAAACCAGGGCTCAGTATCCAAAAATCCATTTTTTGTCGAAAAATGCCCCAAAAAACCTTCATAAAAATTTTTCAAAGGCATGTATCAAAAAAAGGAAAAAAACGCCTGAGGGTATTGGCCCACTCTACCTCCAGGCCAAATTTCAAGTCATTTGGCTGAATGATGGCGGAGTTGAATCCCTTTGACTGTTTGGCAGGAGAAGGAGGAGGAGAAGAAGAAACATCAGAGAACACAATATATTTCATCCATACCATGGTATGGACTGAAATATAATAAAATAATGTTAGACGAACTTTAAAGGTACTAATGACCCCAGCCCAAGGCTGGGCACCGAACGCGATTGTAGTAAGGCTATACAGCTTTTTATTATGTTTATCTTCGCAGAAAGAAAACATTGTAACCTTTGTCTTCCTAAGACCTACCAACGTACCAAATATCATCACAATCCCTAAAAGGCGTTCTGAAGTTATGCTGACTACAAACGTGCGGAAACACAAACACACACACACACACACACACACACAAACACATAGACACGCCAAAAACAATACCTCAATTTTTCATGGAGGTAACAAAGAAGTCAATGACCTGAACTAGACGTCTGTCACCATGGTAACTAGCAAGTAGGTGTTGGGTTTAGTATATTTTGTAGCAGGACAGAGCTGGAGGGGCTGGTCACCATGTATTATAAACAAGAATGTGTTTGACTTACATTTTTAACAGAGTAGTTACTGTACTTTGTTAGGCTAGATTATCCATGTTGCCTTTCTATTTATGGGTTCACCACACCACGAAGTGGTGGTGAACCCATATTGCTTTTTATATTTCAGTCCATACCATGGTATGGATGAAATATATTGTGTTCTCTGATGTTTCTTCTCCTTCTCCTTCTCCTCCTCCTGCCAAACAGTCAAAGGGATTCAACTCCGCCATCATTCAGCCAAATGACTTGAAATTTGGCATGGAGGTAGAGTGGGCCAATACCCCCAGGCGTTTTTTTCATTTTTTTGATACATGCCTTTGAAAACTTTTTATGGAGGTTTTTTGGGGCATTTTTCGCCAAAAAATGGATTTTTGGATCCTGAGCCCTGGTGTTACAACCAAATGATCTGAAATTCGGTATAAGGGTACCTTGAACATGTGTCTACAGAACAGTCACATATTTGGCATACACCACTTCCAAATGACTCATTTGGGGGACTTTAATGGCTATTTACACCAAAAAAAGGGCCAAAAGTGCTATACCCGTTCCATGTTCTATCTAAAGAATGGCACGTTCTATCTGCCGTTGGCCATGGAACAGGTATTCCATTGCGGGTTACCTGAGGTCACATTGCACCTAAGTGGTTCATAATGACCCACACATTCAATTTTATGTGCCTAAGACCTTCAAAATGTATCAAATCTCATCATTGTTAGTATTTGCATACCTGTAAGAAGATTAGTAAAGCTTTCGAGATTCAATGTGCTTGTTCTTGCATCTTTGTTCTCAATTACATGGCTACTATATAATTCATTTATTTGAGAATCTTTGCCAGTTTTACACTGGGGTAAGTTTGGAATAGTCCACTTTTGCGTGGGAGGGAGATGGACTGAAATATGCTGTATTTGCTCCCAAGCAAATGTCGGCCTCTCTAGTTCTGATGTTTCCTCTCCTCCTCCTCCTTCTCCTCCTTCTCCTCCTGCCATATCTTTAAATGGATTCAGCTTCTTCATTTTAGGGCCTAAGGTCCTGAAATTTGGTATGGAGGTACAGTGGGCAAATACCCCTAGGCGTTTTTCAATTTTTGTGATACAGGCTTTTAGAATGGTTTTATTTGAGTTTTTTGGCTGTGTTATAGCAAATGTATTACTGTGTTAGTGTGCCTGTTTACCACGTCTGGGCATGAGTCATCACAATGGAATGCAGGGCATCAACCAATAGGCATGCAGCTTTCCTCTATACTTCTTGCTCATTGGCTGTTGGGATTTAACTTGATTAACACCCGCACAGAGCATTTCCACCTGCACAGAGCATTTCTTGCTGATTGGCTGTTGGGATTTAACTTGATTAACACCTGCACAGAGCATTTCCATACTGACAGTATGTCTTTATTCAAGTGTTTTGGTAAGTATTTCAAGCTTTTCTGCTCCAGCATTGGAATGCGGGGCATGAACGTTTTTTATTTTATTTTGAAAATCAACAGTTTGCATTATGCAATTAAAAATCCTAACCAATAAAGTAGGGAATAGCTATCCAACTGTTGTTTTAGTTGTATGTTACTTCATATTATAATTATATCAATGTAAATAAACTAAATCATTGTTTTCCCTTGTGTTTCTCATTCTTTCCCTGCCATGTGGTAAAATGTGGTGAACCCATCGCTGTATTTGCTCCAAAGCAAATATTGGCCTTTCTAGTTTATACTTGACTTTTTGGCGACGCCTCAGGGGCGGAGGCATGTTTTACCCACCTCAGCAGGGTAGATCTGTCCGTTGACCTCGTGCTCGGACCCCGCCCACAGGTTGTCCAGGAAGCTCCAGTGGAAGTGGAACTGCGCCAGCTTGTAGTTGTTTCCCGGCAGGCCGCCGCCGCCGACACGGTGAGCGTTGTTGTCGTCGAAGGATACGCCAACTGTGAGGAGACGCATGAACAAACGAAGCAGCTAATGTATGAATGAATGAATGGGTGGATGAATGATTCAATAGAATGTGAATGGAGGGATGGATGGATGGGATGGATACTGTGGGCGTTGTCATCGAAGCTTACTCCAACTGTGAGGGGAAAGAGACATTCAGACGTGTGAACAAATGAAGCAGCTTGTTGGAAATGGTGAAGTTGACGTTGCCCAGCCTTCAAAAAACCAACCCTTGCTTGTAATAAAAGTTATATGCAGGTCCAACAGTTTCCGCAAGAGGGCGTCTACCTGCGTATCCGTTGTTGGACATGGCGAAGTTGACGTTCGCCGACACGGCGTTGTACCTGCGGATACGACAATAGTTCTCTACAACATGCTGCAGAACTAACAATTTCCGCTAGAGGGCGTAAGCAGTCCCAGTGTTGTCTATCCCTACCTGCGTATCCATTGTTGGACATGGTGAAGTTGACGTTCCCTGGCACGGCGTTGTACCCGGTGAAGGATACGACAATAGTTCTCTACAACATGCTGCAGAACTAACAATTTCCGCTAGAGGGCGTAAGCAGTCCCAGTGTTGTCTATCCCTACCTGCGTATCCGTTGTTGGACATGGTGAAGTTGACGTTCCCCGGCACGGCGTTGTACCCAGTAAAGGTGAAGGCGGGGAAGGTCTGCTTGACCGTGTTGCGGTACACCAGGTCGATGGGAGACTGGGCCGAACCACTGCAGAACTGGGGCGCCAGGGTCTTCCAGTTCTCGGGACCTAAACAACAAGAACGGCATTTGTTGTTTGTTTGTTTTTTATGTTTGTTTGTTTGTTTTAATTCAGAAGAACGGTAATAAATACAAATGAGAGGACACAAAGTGACTGTAAACTCAAGTTAGGCCCATGCAACTTAATATATTCTCGCAGACACTTTTACAATGAAAGATAAAAATATTTTACAAGACGTTTGAAAATGTGTGAATTCATAAGAGATCTAGATTAAGCATGAGTCAAAATCTCCCATCCCAGAAGAAAAGAAAGCAAAACAGGAAACATATCGCTAAAAATCACTTTTATCTTCACGAGCATAGGTTACAAATTTCTGACGGTGACCGTAGTTCTTTACAGCCTGGTGCAAGACCAATTGTTTCAGCAAGGAGGCGTGCGTAGGTAAGAAAAAACAACTTCTACTTACCGTATTGGCCCGGAGCGTAGCCCCATTCTGCAAACAAGAACAAACACATCTAAGACGAAACACTAGAACATATCTCCGGAAAAAGAAAATAGCAAAATAGCAAAATACGATACGAATGGCTCCCTAAAGTTACCGGTTTTGTTTCAGTTATCTCGAAATATCGTGGGCAAATTCCATCGATCATGTAGCAGTCACAAATACGTATCACCAAACGCCCCTAAACTTGCTGAATGGGATATTCCTACATGACGTGACTTACTGGCGGCTCCGTAGGCCAGGTGGATCAACAGCGCCCCCAAGGTGCAGTACTGCAGCAGCGACATGGTGACAGTTGCGATGATAACTCACTGTGTACAAATAAACAAAAATTGCAACAGTCAGTGTCTTTTGTAACATAACGAGCCCATAGCCCCACCCACCTTCGTTTAAAAACTTTGAAGCACGTCGGCATAAACGTACTGCACCTGCGCGAAACCCATAATGTATTGTGCATAGCACTTCGGCAGAACGTCTCATGTAAGGTGGTATTCGCACATATAAGGTTAACTTCCCGTTTGTAGTTTCCAAATGTTATGTAGGAAAAATATCCTTTGTACAACGGGCAAAATTCTGATGCAACGTTGACCAAAAAATACAACGAAAACCGTGAAAAATTGTGGATTTTAGGTGCAGTACGACGTGCTTAGAAGACTTACTAGTATATGACGGACATGCAGCCAATGTCTCATTGGTCAAGCCTCTAATTGGCATGCTGCCATTGGTTGAACTGCTAATTGTGATGGACAGTCTATTGGTGGTAAAGTCCTGACACTATTGTAGCGTTGCTGAGTTCTTGTCACATCTAATGTCAAAGTTCTTTTAATAACAAAATCTTTCTTTTTTTTTCTGTTTGAAACTGGACACAAAGCAGTATGGGTAAAGGGCGGATGTCTGCTATCTCATGTTAGTAATCGGTGTGTGGACCTGTCACACAAAATGATACATTCCCGTCCAGCCTGACCTGATACGCCCGAGTGCATTTCAAACTTACATAAATTTGGGCATGATGAAATATACTCTGGGTCACATCACCAGGTCTTTAATTTTTTTATACATCAATATCAACGAATACTACTTTCCAGTTCCAACAAGGCCGTGTTCATGTGAAGTCAGTGAAGGCGCTTTACATGTGGTTTACCCCGAAGCCGGTTTCAAGTGGCTTCATCTGAACGCTCCAAATCACATTGAAAGCGCCCCGATCCCAAACCACTTCTAGAGGTGGTTTCGAATCGGTTTTCCCGCATCGCGATTTGCGTCTGAACGCAATGTGATTTCAATGTGACTTCACCTGGTATGGATTACGGGGTGATATTTCTTTACTTATATGCAATACCAAATTTTACGTGGCAGTAACTTAAAGAGCAGTAATGGGTCAAAATAAATGTGTCCGTTCTAGGACGAGCTTCACCGCCTCTGGCAGGGACCACGTCGGCATTCGGCCGAGATACGCTGGGAGGGGGCACCAGCAAGCAGGTCGTTGACCCCTGACATTAATAACACGATACCATCTGCCTGAAGATTACCCCAACTCTATATACAGCCTTCTATTCTTCTTGATGAAAAGATAGCCGAATAGAAAGGCGCTGGGACGGGGTGACTGACCGCCATTTACGGATCAGTTGAGTGACTGTTACATGGCCGCGAGCGGTAATTAAAGAGTTAATTGGGGCGTGATGACCCAGCAATTATGGTAGACAGTACATCAAACACACCTGCTCATCGCTTTGGGGTGCCATCTCATACATGTAACACTTTACCCTACTAAATAGCAAAGTTCTTTCTATCACAACCATTTATTTTTTAAGCCAACGTTTCGATGACGACCTGTCATCTTCATCAGGGCAATACTGACTGGTTTACTGTGCACTGACACTAGATGTTGCTTGGTGCTTGGTGATGTAACAATGCCTAGTATGTATGTCACAATTACACTACGTTGCGGAATGCATTGTAAACAGACAAAACTAGCTTAAGTACACTATGAACTATGTAACATCTTTAGTGCACTATGCACCAAGCAACATCTAGTGTCAGTGCACAGTAAACCAGTCAGAATTGCCCTGATGAAGATGACAGAAGGTCATCGAAACGTTGGCTTGAAAAATAAATGGTTGTGATAGAAAGAACTTTGCTATTCAGTCGTTTACCAACCTGATGAAATTATTTACGGACTTTACCCTACTGTTTGTATACACACAGTACATGCGTGTGTATATTTTAGGTTTCTTTCACTGTAAGAATGCCTTAGTTACATCCGTGAAGGAGGTAATGTTTTGATGTGATCTGTCCAATTAGGTTTAGGTCGATGTGTTTTCGGATACTTCGGCCACCATAACTCAAGAAGCCAAATTAATTGATGAAAGAGTCATGAAAATGTCGGTAATATGTCATTAAAATGTCGTTATTTGTCTTATAGGGTTAACTTTAAAAATAAGGGATAACCACATTTGTCGTAAAATGGCCAATCTACAAATGGGCTGTCATGTTTTGTCCTTAATATTTTGCCCCTGAGTAATAAATTTCAGCTCCCCAAAGATTTCTCTTGACAGGTGCTTCATTCTGTGTTTGCATCTGTTCTCGGCGTTCGGCGAGGTTGACATGATGATTTGATTGATTGATTTGATTGTGATTTATTGAAATTTCAACAGTGCAATACACGCGGACCAGCGGCAGCTGTTGCTGATGTTGTGTTCCGCACATAGAAACGAATACTGGACAGACAATACTCATTCTGTGTTGCATCTGTTCTCGGCGTTTGGCGAGGTTGACATGATGATTTGATTGATTGATTTGATTTATTGAAATTGCTACAGAAACGCGGAACAGAGGCAGTCGGGTGTTGCTGGTGTTGTGTTCCGAAATGACTACTGGACAGACGATACTCATTTTCACTTGAGTCTAGTGAGGAAAGTTGTGTAAAGTGCATTTCCCAAGGGCACAAGATCGGTGGCATGTCAGGACTCGAACCCGGGACCTCTAGGTTCTGAGTCGCGCACTCTGACGCTACACCACACGACCCCAGGTTGAGGTTGACATGATGATTTGAATGAACATTCCATCATTCCAACAGGTGCTTTTACAATGTATCATATCAGGCTGACTCTTATGTGCAAACATATACCCCAACTTCCCTTTGATTCATTTGTAAGTTTCTGGCACAAGAAAGGTTTTCAATTGGCATTAGAAATTGTCTTGGCTTTGGAAATTGTCTTATCAACTACTTATCACATAAAAAGACCATTTATTTATTTATTTTCGAAAATTGCGACATTCACAATACAGTGGCCACCCTGGCAGCAGAGCTGATGGCGGGGGCCACAGACAGACATGACTACATGACTATACATACATTGTTGATTAACATATATGTTATTATATTTACAATACTAATTAAAATGGGTAAACTTAGTTGGAGGTCAGAGGTCGAGAATCCGTACAGTGGAAATAATAGACAAGTGCACTAGACCAAATGAGCAGGTAGAAGGACACTTTAGAAACGTTTTGTTTGCAGGATGTAGCCCTGAAGAGCGGCCGAGATGTTTTGGTTTGTAGAGAGGTTGTGACCTGGAAGACCATTGAGGAGCATGTTGGTGGAGAGGGATTGATCCACAACACTACGTACAGCGGTAGCAAGTGTTTGCCTTGCGTCCTTGTGCAGAGGGCAGTGGAGGAGGTAGTGTGCGACTGACTCAGACTTAGCACCACAGCTACAGCTGCGTGGGGTCAAGTTGAACTTGACGAGTGTAGAGTTGAGCTGAGACCAGTCAAGACGCAGTCTTGTAGAAAGGATGTTACTGCGACGGTCACCGAGTCTGCGGAACTTCTGGTGACGGCGGGTGGTCAGCATCTGCGCTTTACACTTCAGTCTGAACTGGTTGTAGGTCGCAGCTTCCCTCACGTCCCTTGGGAGACTGTTCCAGAGCCGCGTGGTGTACGGGACGAAGCTGTTCTTGTACACAGTTGTTCTGCAAAAAGGAACATGCAAGTGTGTGTCGTTCCGTAGTCGAAGTTGGAGCTGTCTTTGGCTGTCTCTGGTAGTCGGGATCAGCACCTGAAGGTGGAGTGGGACTGAACCAGATACTAGCCTATACATGAGTAGTAATCTGTTGTAGTCCCTTCTGGTTGCTAGGCTGTCCCATTCTAGCTCTTCGAGTAGTTTCACTCGGGGTGTTCGGGCCATCGCTCCTGAGACAAGCCGTCCTGCATGGTACTGGACTTGCTCCAATGTCGTGCTGGCAGTAGTACCGATGTTACAAAGCAGGATGGAGGCATACTCCAGCTTCGTGCGCACAAGGGTGTTGTAGGCAATTTCCAGGGCTTCTCTGGGCAGATTGCTTTGCAGTTTGCTCAGTAGTCCTAGAACCTTGTTGACCATTTCTCATCAGATTTTACATTCTTGGAGAATACTATGAATAAAACGAAGATGCAGGTGATCTAAACTCGTTGCAAAGTTTCGTCCAGACACTGGAAAGACGTTATTTTTTTATTCATAAGCACAGTGATGAATACAAATAAAGGGACATGGACTAAGTGACTGCGAACTCAAGTTAGGTACAACTTATTTTCTCGCAGCCACTTTTACAATGGAAAAAAGGGCGTTTACAAGACATTTGAAAAAAAAACTATGGATATTATGAGGAAAACCTCTCATCCCAGAAGAGAAGGAAAGCATAGCAGGACACATACAACTAGAAGCGTTTTGTTTCTGTGATGTAGTCATGCGCGGCTAACATCATGTCACAGTTGATGTCATTCGAACAAACCGATGTTAATTTGCATGTTTGACAAGCTGTGAAAAATCACTGATTCTGAAGAGAATTTTCATCGCGTGAGGATAGCTGAATTCCGTGTTGACGGCTATTGTGGATTGCCAGTGGACCGTAGATGAAGGATAGCCGAAAATATCTTTATAATTACAGGTTACTACTGATAAACAGGTCATGCTGACCTTTATAAGAGCATCCCAACTGTCATCGAGAAAGATGATTTGTTGATAGCAACGATTTTTTATATATCAACTCCAAGAGTTTGTTCCGGACATCTTCATCCATAGATGAAAGATGATGTTATGCATCTACTTGTGCTCCGTTGGTTAATTTGTTTTGTTTGTTTGTTTGTTTGTTTGTTTTTTATGACAACTCTCTTCATCGTGACAAAAGTCGTCAATTACCAACATTTTACCAACAAAAGTGCAAATATATTCAAATGACATACCTAGAACTGTATTAGAGTCAGACTCGCTGTCACCATTTCAATACAGTAGGGGCATGATCACTAGTTTTGT